TTATTGTTGACAAATCTTTAATTTGAGTCGATGTGTTTTTTTTATTTTTAGAAATATGATGACGTTATTTTAGTTCTTCTTTATTGTTGCATTATATCGCGCAAAATTAACAAAAGTATCCCTGCTAATTCTATTCTATGAAAAAAAAGTGGAAAGGAAGAAAACCAGAAAGTAAAGAATAAAAAGTATGCAATAGAATTGGAAATGAGATAAGAAAGACAGAAGAAGTAATCAATTAATACTATAAAAGCAGGTATGTCTATCGTGATGAAAAACGTATCAGTGTCGCGATGGTGTTTTAATAAACGTAGAAGAAGGTAGGAAAAGATTAGTGTATTTTACAACATGATGCGTCTAAAGAATCAGAAATTAAAAAAAGATCCGAGAATTTTGATTTTCGTCTTCATTTTATAAGATCGGATAGTTCTGTTCTACACATTTAATCCGTTGAATATGATTTTTCTTGAATTTTTTTCCTTGGCTAACAATTAACAGGAGATCTTACATTTTTACGCTGCCAAGACCGATAAATACGGCAGTTTTCTCTAAAATATTCGTTTTATATTCATCTAAAAAAGTAGTCTTCGTATAATGCCATCTATCATGTACAACACTCGTTCAAAATTTAAATAATTAATTTAAACAGTAAAAATAATGCCCCTGATCTATACTATAATTAATTAGTTTTTCATACCTTGATTTTATATTGATCAACCATTGAATGGTCAACCAGTACATGATCAACCATTGGATGGTCAACCATTAGATAATCAACCATTAGATGATCAACCATTAGATGATGATGCATTAAATATTAAAATGGACACGTTAGTTGTTTTAATTATTAATATAATAATAATACTTAATAATTTCGTATATTTTAGCATGACATTAATGGCTGATTCATCATCATTAAAAGCATCAAATATTTTAGTACCATTAACAAATGATGATCGAATAATCAGTGATAAATCACCATTGAAAACTAATTATTCAACAGCAACAACAACAAATATTTTCTTATCATCAGATAATGTATTGATGAGCGATTTATCAATGGAAGAGAATCATCCACATGATGATGATTTTGAAGATCGTTTGACCAAATTACGAAGAGAACATGAAGAAAGAATGAAAGAATATGATGATAAAATTCAGCATTTTGAGAAGAAAATAAATAAAGTTTGTAAACAAATAAAAAAAATGGGTCGAGACATGAAAAACGTGATGATCGAAAAAGAAGAAAAACAACAAGAATTTTTAAATCTTTTGAATGAACATGCACGTTTATCAAAAACAGATAAGTAAGTGTCATTTAAAAAAAAATGAAATCTGTTTCTTTTTTCTCAAAAAGATCACACGAAAAAGGACAAAAGAAAAGCATCAAAAGAATCCAGGGCGGGATTGGTGGTGGTGGTGGTAGAAAATAATTGTGGTGATTGTACGAAGCATTTTTTGGATTGGTGCTGATGGAAAATAATTATGGTGCTCGTACGAATTTTTTTTTTGTTAAACTTGTCTCTTAACTTTTTTTTCATTAAACTTGTCTCTCAACTTTTTTTGTCTATTTGTTGATTGTTACATTTGAAGATTAGTAAAAATAAAAAAAATATTGATCTAAGACAAAAAAAAAATGAAAAAATTTAACAAACATTCGAGATGATTATATGTTTCGATTGATTGTGCAGCTAACATCTTGATAGGAAAGAAGATGTATTCTGGTAGTGGTAGAGTAGATTAAAGATTTCATATAAAAAAATTTTCTAACGGATTTGATGTATTTATTATAAAATTTTGTTCAATATTTAAATGAATATTTAATGTTGAAGTTAATAATGAAGTGATTTTAGCTACTTGACTTCTTATTTGATTTGTTAATTGTTTTTGATAATATAGATTTTGATTTATTTCAAATTTTTCTTCTAAAAAAAACTCATTTTTAATAACAGACAAATCTTTAAAAATAGAAAGTATTGTGTAATAAAATCTTAAATTTTTCTATTCGGAATCGAAATTAATGTAATCGGTTTATTGTTATAGATGTCGAAAAACTCGTCAACTGATGAGAAAATGAAAACAAAATCTGTCCCATCAGAATCTGAACTTGGAAAGAAGAAAATTGATCCGATAAAAAGTTTTTTTTCTGGTGGTGCTGGAGGTGCTTTTCTTGTTATTATTAGACATTCATCAGATACAATTAAAGTAAGCTTCGTAATCTATTATAAATAAATGAACATAAGACATATTAATGTTCGTTTACAAACAATGCCGAAACCGAAAAAAGGAGAAAAACCGATTTATACAGGAGCTTTTGATTGTGTGAAAAAGACTGTCAAGAAAGAGGTTGGCTTTTTTCCTCTTGTTTTCTTGATGATAAACAATTTTCTTTATAGGGGTTTTTGTTATTTCATAGAGGTGTGGGTTCTATGTTCGTAGGTATTGATTGATATTCATTAAATAACGATAATTTTAAATATGAATTTTATTGATTCTTAGGAGTAACATCAACATCAGCTTTATCTTTTTTTGGTAATAGTATTGAAAAAAGATTCAAACATCATCGAGAGATGATGGAGATTATAGATTAACTAAAATTTTTTAAAATAATTTTCAATATTTGATATAATTAATTAGTTTACCACAATTATCTTTCGCTGGTTCAGTTACTAGAATTACCAATACAATTGTTTTAGCTCCTGTTGAAAGAGTGAAATGTTTATTACAAGTAATTATTGAATATATTTATTACATAAAGTTGATTTTAAAGGCTCAAGAAGCGGCGAAATCAAATAAAAATGTCTTATCCACTGAATATAATGGATCATTTGATTGTGCTCGACAATTCTATAGAAAAGGTGGAATTCAAAATTTATATTGAGGTGTTGGAATTACAATTACTCGAGGTAGAATAATATCTTCGATTATGATGAAAATTTAATACTGAATTTGTTAATGTAGGTATATGTCAATGGGGTATTTCTTTTTGTACATTTGATGAACTGAAAAGAGCATTAAAACAGGAAAAGCATTCGTACGGAATTAAAAATAATCCAAAAATTTTCGAATTATTTTACTTTTAGAAAAGAGGAATTCAGTGCATGAAAAACAATCTTAGCTGTAGTACAGCTGGATTATTTAGTTGACTTATTGGGATGCCAGCTGATATATTAAAATCAAGATTACAAAGCGGTATGTCAAGACATAAATCAAAAGTATATCATTGATTTTATTAAATAGCATCATCGGATAAATATCTAAATGGTGTTCGAGATGTTTTTCATGAATTAAGAAAAAAAAAGAAGGACTTGACGCACTTTATAAAGGTACGACAGCTATCTTGATTAGGGGTGGCACTTAACTTTAACTTTAAAGATAAAGTTAAAGTTTAAAGTGTCACCTCTAATCTTGATTTGAGCTTTTCCTGCAAATGCGGTAAAATAATTTTATTTGTTAAAAGATATTTTCATTTGTTCACCGAGGCATATTTTCTCGGTTATGAACTGGCAATGAAGGCTGTTAATTATTTATATTAATAGAGTTATTTTTGTTCTATTGGATCAAAATTCAACACTTGATTATACTTATTTTATTCGACAATGGTATCACTTTTTTTTATGCAATTTAGTTTTTTATCAGGAAATTTTTCTTAATGTTGAATTCAATAAATATCGGTATTTTTCTAAGTTTCTATATGTAGTTACTGTTAAATGAATGTTACCATTGTTGTGTAGGGGTGCATCAGTGTAACAACATCAAATAAGTACTAACAGAATGTTCGGTCCCGAAAACTTTCGATCAAACTTTATATAAAATCGTTATTTTCTCCAAATCGGCTTTTTCTGACCGAAAAATGAAGCTCACAAAGTTTTCGATACTCATTACCAAGTAACTGATCGGTAACGGTAACTAATCTAGCTATTCACATAATCACATGATGTCACAGTTTTTCTATGGAATCAATTAACTTTCTCATTGTTTTTGAATTAATTAATTTATTCTGATAAAACTCTATTAACCCTTGTAGTACCGGTCTTTTTTTTATCGCTGTATACGTATACGGCAGAACGAGCAAAAATGATCCAGGCCAGTACTACAAGAGTTAATCAGTATGAACGAAGAAATATCGTCTCACACTGGATCCGTAGAACAACATATCAATACGATGTTGTCTCGGAGAAGCTATGTGCTGGTAGATGAGACAGCCTTGCACCAGATATTCGATCACAAACTAATCAGAGATTAAAAATATCGTAAAAAGAAATGAATTGTTTATCTTCCAATCTGAATTTGCAGGAATATATTCTTTCTCTACGAATAATAGTTTAAATATTCGATTTGAATTATGCATCTATTTGCTTTCATTGTTATATATTCTAATCGGTAGTATGAATTTCGCCGTACTGACTTTCGCTGTAGGCTTTCAGCTATTGGTGAAGAGAGTTTGTATCGTGTATTGAATGCAGCGTTACGATCCCAAAATCCTGACGAGTGCAAAAAATGGTATCCTTTTCTGAAACTATTGAGTTTAGCCGCCGACAAATTACTACCAGCAAAACAATGTATTTGGCGAGGCATAGTTGGTGATCATACTAAGGAGCTGAAAAAAAGGCCAAATTATAATCTGGCCTGGTTTCAGTTCTTGTTCCATTTCGGTCAATATTATCAAGAATTTTCTTCCTCCGAGTAAACGTTCGTTTATGGATTTGTTCATCACCAAACATTCGACACTTTTCATGATCGAAGCTCATAATGGCAAAAGTTTGACTGGCTACACGAGATATTCGTACGAAGATGGAGTGCTATTAATGCCGCATACTAAATTACGCGTCGTGAGTAATGCATTGTCTCATGGCGGTGGTCTTCATATTGTGCATTTAGAAGGTCTTCTTTCTGAATGATCGATAAAGCGTGCCGGAACGAAGAGAAATTCTTCAAACATTTTGTTCATTATTTCTTTCGTCTTTCTTGTAATGTATCTGTTGTGGAAGTGGAGTGAATATTCAGTTTAGAATAAAGAAATGTAATATAGCATACCACACGGAATATCTAGTCATTTTTCGGAGTGTTCGAACACGATCTAAACTACCGAACCATCGGAGTGTTGTTTTACGCTTGAATAAAAGATTGTTACTCTTGACGGTCAAAGAAACAAACAATGATATGACGTATAAAACGTGATAAATCTTGTATTTAGAAAACCAAAAGAGATCGGAATAGATTCTTCCACAGACCCATCCTTTATGATGATTTCGAACCTATCGAACGTTTCCCCTAAATTGAGTGATCGTGTGAACAAACATTCAGTCAATTGTTTAGATGAGATTTGTGACTTTCTCGTTTGCACTAAATTAAAGTACTATGCGCTAATTTTTTGAGCACCTTCTTAGGCGCATCCAATGCAGTTGTCATTCCATGAAACCCATAAGAAACTATTGTCGGCCCGAATGTTTTTTGACAGTTTTTTTCATCGGAATACTAAAAAAGCAGCACAAAACTTTTCAAAATTTTTGTTCCGTTTTCCGTACATTGAACCGTTATATATATATATGTTTAAAAATTATTTGAGGAAAATCTAAATATACAGTTTTGTAGAGTGAATCTTGCTCTTTCTTTTGAGGTATAATTCAGTTTGAATTGATTGATTTTTAAGAAAAAAAAATAATCATACACTGCAAACAGAAAAAGCATCATTATTATTTTAAAACTTTACGAAGATACTTTCAATGTCTCTCTCACATCTATTCAAGAGCTATTTATAAAAGGCTAAAATTTTGGATTTATTGATTTTTTTACATGCTTTTTCACTTGCGATAATAAAAAAAGGTGGGGAGGGGGGAGAAGTCCAATATTCTTGTATGACGGCTCATTACAAAAATGCTCGATTCAGTCATGGACCGTTTCCTAATAGGCTATATGAACGATACACTGGTTATATGTTGCGCCAATAGATAGTTTTTTCTGTTCTGTATATGTTAAACGGCTACTTCTCATTTGCGATCATAATTTAAATAAAATTTTGAAATATTATGAAGATTTTAAATTTCAGTAAACATTAAAATAAAAATCTCAAATTGTTAGTTTTTCCAAAATGATAAAATTTAAATTAATTTAATTTTCAAGTTGTCGTTGATCAATGCTTCTATCTGAAAATTTTCACTTTCAACTTGAAATCGCATACAGTTTAGCAAGATTTAGTGTTCGCTCGTGTTTTCAATGCAACTTCTATCTCTAGATTTAGGAAGATGTAGAGTTCGCTGCAGTTTTCAATGCAATTTCTATCTATAAATTTAGGAAGATGTAGAGTTCGCTGCTGTGTTCTATGCAATTTCACTTTGTAAATTTAGGAAGATGTAGAGTTCGCTGCTGTTTTCTATGCAGTTTCTATCTATAGATTTAGGAAGATGTAGAGTTCGCTGCTGTGTTCTATGCAATTTCACTTTGTAAATTTAGGAAGATGTAGAGTTCGCTGCTGTTTTCTATGCAATTTCTATCTATAAATTTAGGAAGATGTAGAGTTTGCTAGAATGTCTAGCATAAATCTAACTGAATGTAAAAAAAGATTTAGAAGTGTCACGTGTAATCTGTTTGAAGCTAAGTGAATGCGGTCTGAAAGTGTCACTTCTTAATTTGAAAGATTAATGTAAGAACACTACAGCAAAACAAAATTAGTTTCACATTTCTAGCGATTCGATTCAGAAAGCTTTATCAGCTCTGGATTAATTATGAATTTTGCTGCTTCACCAAAAAGAAGATTTTATAAGTTGGATGTAGTGTCGAATAAATTGTTTTAAAAAATACCAATGAAATCTTGTTGCATTTTAAACCAGGTCACTGAGATAGGTTGATCATGTGAGTTTTTTTTTATAAAGCCTTTTTTGGAACGTAGCAAGATCATAGATTTAGTTTAACTACTATGAATCTTAATCTTAATCAGGAACGCTTTTAGGAAGGTGATTTACTTAATTCTCATATTGAAAAACGAACCCTAATATAGCTCGAGTAAGAGGCGAAAAAGAAAGAAAGTTTTAATGAAGATCGAAGGAAGATTTTGAATTGTTTCTCTCATGTTCTACAAACATGATTCAATATCCATTCAAATTATGACCTCGGTGGACGCTAGTTTGAAGAGAACTCGAATACCAACACCAAAATCATGTCCTGTTTACATTTTATCCACGATTTTTGTTGTTGAATAATTATATTTTTCGGTTCCAATTAGTTTCTTTTCAATGGATTGTTGATCTTATGTGATTATAGAAACTAAATAGAGTTCCAATATAAAAAGCTGTTAGCGCAATCCCTTGCGGGATTAAAAATGTGAAACACGATGTACCTGCTGTTGCCAATCTTATAAAAATTGTTCTTTTTTATGCATATTGGTGTACATTTCTTCATCGTGACTTACTTTACATTATAGAACTGAAACAGGATAATACCCCATATATGCTCCAATCATGTGTTAGTTATGCATTATCTATGATGCTTCCTTGAACTCTTCTTTCACAGTCTATGATGACTCCTGGAGCTTGTCTGTCACGGTCTGTGATGGGTCCAGAGGTTCTCTGTCACGGTCTGTGATGGTCTCTGGGATTCTCTGTCACGGTCTGTGATGGGTATTGAGGTTTCTCTGTCACGGTCTGTGATGGGTTCAGAGGTTCTCTGTCACGGTCTGTGATGGTCTCTGGGGTTTTCTGTCACAGTCTGTGATGGTCTCTGGGATTCTCTGTCACGGTCTGTGATGGTCTCTGGGGTTCTCTGTCACGGTCTGTGATGGGTCTGGAGGTTCTCTGTCACGGCCTGTGATGGGTATAGAATTTCTCTGTCACAGTCTGTGGGGGGGGGGGGTCCAAATTTCTACCCCTAAACACTTCAACACTC